GGCGCGCCAGGTAAACTGAGGCCGCCCGGCCGACCCAGCCCTTTGCGAGGTTCCGCGGCCCCTCCCGAGCACCGTCTGCCGGGCAGCTCGGCGAGGCCTCGTCTCCGCGATAAATACATAGCAAATTAGCCGGGCGTGGTGGCGCGCGCCCGTCGTTCCTGCTCCTTGGAAGGCCGGGAAGAAAGGGTCGCCGGAGCCCAGCGGGTCGAGGCTGCGGGGGCCAGGAGCGTGCCACTGTGCTCCAGTCTGGGCGACAGTGAGACCCCTACTCAAAAAAATAAAAGGGAGAATACAGGAAAAAAGTGACTAAAGGCATGCACCCGGTTGGCAGATCTGGGCCTAGTTCTGAAGTATACCGATGATGTTCTTTTTTCTCTATACTGCGTGCCTCGTATTGAGTATAGAGAAATAGGAGCAAGCCCGGGCGCGGTGGCTCAGCTTGTCATCCCAGCGCTTTGGGAGACCGAAGCGAATGGATGGCCTGAGCTCGGGGGTTCGAGACCAGCCCGGGCAACTTGACCAGACCTCATCTCTACCGTAAATCAAAAACTAGCCGGGTGTGGTAGCGCGCGCCTATAGTTTCGGCTACTTGGAAGGCTGAGGTGGAAGGATGGAGTCCAGCAGGTTGACCTTGGAGTGGCGGGGAGCGTGCCACTGCACTGCAGCCTGGGAGATGCAGTGAGACTCCACCTCAAAAAAAAAGAAAGAAAGAAATAGGAGCAAAGGGCCCCCCTCTTTCCCTGCCTCAAAGGCTGCGTGGGCACCTGCACCCCGAGGTGCTGTTCCTTTCTGCCCATCAAGCGCCCTGGGCAAGACCTTTTCAATGACGACAGATTTCCATGGACACTTCACCCTTTTTCCTGAAATATGGACGCTACAGCCTGACCGGAAAAACCCACATAGCCTCAAATATGCAAAATGTTACTACCACATCGGGAGTTTTAGGGACCCCCCAGAAGTCAGATGGTGGACCCCGGAACTCTCCTCCCAAACCTTAACACCAGAATGTGATTGACTGCACCCTGATAGTACCTATGGTTATTGTGAAAGAAAAAATAAATCATAAAAATTGACTGATTGCTAGTGAAGGAGGTTGTAGCAGGCAGGTCATTTTTTATAGCATGAAGAGCTGAAGCACAGGGATTAGCCATGTCAGCCTCAACATGCAGAGATGAGGTTGTGTATGATCTGAGCAGGAGCGTCCAGGAGGACAGATGTCACTGTAGCAAAGAATGTTAGGGCCAATGGGATTGTTAAAACCATCGTAATGTGTTTATGTCTACATTACTCATCCGTAAACATTTTGTGCCACGAATTAGTCTAGGTACTGGGGACCCTAAACAAGACAGACATGTTCTGTACTCTCATGGAATTGAAGCTTAGACCGATCTACTTATTTTACAGAGAACAAAACCATAGCTCAGAATACAGGTAAAACTGGGTGCAGTGGCTCATACCTGTCATCCCAGCACTTTGAAAGATAGAGGCGAGAGGATTGCCTGAATCCAGAGGTTCAAGACTAGCCCAGGCAACTTGGTGAGATCTTGTCTCTACAATAAATAAATAAATAATTAGCTGGACATGGTGGCAAGTGCCTGTAGTTCCAGCTACTGGAAGGCTGAGGTGGAAGGATTGCCTGAGCCCAGCAGGTCGAGGCTGCTGTGGTTGTGAGTGTGCCATTGCACTCCAGCCTGGGCCACAGTGAGACTTCAGCTCAACAAAATAAAAAAAAGAACACAGGCAAAAAGTGGCTCAAAGCATGCACCTAGTTGTTAGCAGACCTAGGCCTAGTTCCGAGGTATACTGATTGTATTCTTTTCTCTATACTACATGCCTTGAATTGAGTATATAGAAATAGGCGGAAAAGGCCTGTCTCTGCAGAAATATGTCTGAGATGGGCCTAGTCATACAGGTTGGTTCTGGGATAGACTCATTAGTCTTCAGAAAGCATTAAATATCTGATTGTCAAACTGTGTAAGACACCGTACAGGAGTTCTAAGAAATATAGGCCAGAGAACCCATGCTGTAAAGTGTTCATTGCCAGAGTAGTGAATGAAATGTGGAACCACAGGAAGTGACCCATATGCGGGGTCACTAGAGTGAATCTGTAAGAAGTGAAAGTGAGTGTATTGTTGGGAATGGAGATCAGAAACAGTAACCAAGCAAGCTTGTCCAGGCTGTTGTAGCAACAAGAAACAGGCCTTCTCTGATCAACCTGATAGCAGAACTTGATGGTAGAGTCAGGGTTTCAGGAGTCCATTTTCATCTGGGCCTTTGTAGGGATTCTTCAGGACTGAGTTGGTCTCAAAGGCTTTGAGAAGTACTTTCTGAGCATAATCAACTGGACTAAGGAAGCAATGTGGACACAGCAGCTTGGGGAATAAATGACCATCAGAACTACAGCACAGCTGCTGAAACCTTGCATTTAGCTTCCAAGAGCCGAAACCCTAACCAAATGGAGCCTGTGGGGGAGAAGCCAGACATATCTCTTTCTCACTTACCCAAAGCCTGCCTGAGCTGGTTGTACCCTAGGGCTAAGGCTGCCTTATCACATTTCAGTCCCGATGAATCAAAGGAATAGCTGGATTATGGGTTTGGAAGGAGAATGCTGGAGTTGTCAAGCCTTGTGTGGCAAGTATCAGATGCTTCTTGGGTGCTCAGTAAATGTATGAGAAATGAACGCATCTCCCACTTCCTTAAGAACAGATGGATGCAGTGATGATTTTCAAATGCTTCAGAAAACGTAGCACTTCTTTTCAGGAAAGATGCATTTTTAGAAAATTTCCTCATTCCTCTACCCTACTTATGACCTTCAGTCTGTGCCCTAGACAGCTTGGGGGTGACGGGATAAGGAGGGCAGGCAGCCTGAGTCAAAGCCCACCTATTCGGGGTGTGAGCGTCATCTTTGTGGAGCAGAGAACAGACCTAGAGCTGTGTGGGATTCTATGCTTTTTCTCCATCCCTCACCTGCTGCGGTAATCTAACTGTTCAAGACTAGTAAAGTAAGACTTCTTTGAGATGGACTTGGGGCATCGGCTGCATGTGATGGATGTGAGCTCGAGGTATTATGAGTATCAACAGAGCCATGTTCAAGGCATGCATTGGCCTTAAGGTGTAGTAGCCAAGCCTGAGGTGAAGCTCAAAGTTGGCTTTAGACAAGATAATGAGAAATTCTCCTGGAATCTTCTCTTTTTTTTGAGTTGGAGTCTCTGTCGCCCAGGCTGGAGTACAGTGGCATGCTCCCGGCCACCGCAGCCTCGACCTGCTGGGCTCCGGCAATCTTTCCGCCTCAGCCTTCCAAGTAGTCAGAACTACAGTCACTCGCTACCACGCCCAGCTAATTTTTCTGTTTTTAATTGTAGAGATGAGGTCTCACCACATTGCCCAGGCTGGTCTTGAACCCCCGGCCTCAGGCATTCCTCTCGCCTAGGCCTCCCAAAATGCTGGGATTATAGGCTTGAGCCACCTTCCTGGAATCTTTATAATGTGCCTTGGGCCTGCTCTTTATCTATTCAGCTTTATCCTGCTTTTTCTATTACTATACATTAGGAAAGCCATGACTTAATAAATATCTTGGTCATAAATGGCTACTTATCAAGCCTTTCTTGACTATGGGTAGAGCTGTAGTATGTGTGCCACATATTTTGAACACATTTGTTAAAAATGCTGACAAGAAATGCAATATTTAAAGTGTCATTTCTTAAAAAAACACCAATCTGACTGATTTTGTCTTTCACGAAACGTTTCTTAGGAGCTTACTATATTCTAAGCTCTAAGCTAAGTTCTTGAAATAAGAAATGAGTGAAGAAATGTTTTCTTTAAGGAACTCATGGCCTGTGGCAGAGATGGATGAGTGATAGGAAGCCCAAGGCAGTTAATCCAGATTTTTTGCAGTTTTCCAAGCAATGCCGGAGTTGAATTTTGAAGGGAGAGTAGGAGTTAGCTGCAGTAATAGTAATAAATTATGTACCACGTTTTTATTGAATGCCCAGAACTGAATTAAGTGCTCTAGCATGGATTGTTTCATGCATAAATGATAGAAAAACCATACCTGTGAGGTAGCCACAACTGTCATCTACATTTTATAGATGAGAAAACAGAAGATTAAAGAAGTTAAAAAATGTACCCAGGTAGCAAGAAGCAGGTAGGGATTCGCCCTTGGGCAGTTTTACTCTTGTATCTAGGCTGTACTCTGACCATAGGTGGAGGTGGAGGAAAGGAATTTCAGAGATTAGGCAAAACCTGCAGGGCACAAGTGCCACGTTCTTCAACTGGCAGGGAGTTCCTAGTAACTGGAATGTAGACCCTGGATCCGCCATTGATGCGAGAAGAGGCTGGAATGTAGACTAGAGCCAGCTCATGGGTGTCAGACCAAGGAGTTTATCCTGTGGGCAGGGGAGACACTGAAGAACTTTGAGATGGGAGTGACATGAGAGAAGGGCACATTTTAGGGATGACCCTGGCCACAGGGTGGACAAGGGTTTGAAAGGGAGGAAGAGAGGCCAGTCATCTCCGGACAGTGGTTGTCAGGTTGAGAAGAGGAAAATGGCTTGGGAAAATGGAAAGAATGGAATTGGCATGGCCAGGTGACCCTATGGGTGTGGAAACAGGGCGGATAGGTGTGCAGGAGAAGCAGATGGAGCGGTTCCACGTCATGGAGCCAGTATACAGAAGCGGAGGCTCAAGCAGCGTGGGCTTTATTCTGTGGCCAGAGAATGGAGAAGCGACTCGCAAATCAACTTCTCACCAGGTAGGTGGTGAGGGGCTGGGTGTTAAAGCGAGGTGAGTAATATTGGTGTCTCTTCTGGAATGGGCAGAGATTTCCTGGAATTTGGGTCATGCCCCTTTTCGCTCCCTTTTTGGCCCCGTGGTTTTGGCCATGGCTGCTGGGGAATGTGTCATTTAGTATGGAAAGCATATGATACTGAGGTTAGAGGTTCTTCACAGACCCAGTGAGCCGCTGTCTCGAATCCCTCCAGTTTTAGCTGGTCTGGTCAAGAGGGGAAGTTCTGTCCGAAGGCCTTTCTATTAAAGATAAGCAGGGTTAGGCCGGGGTGAACATCTGGCACTCAAGATAAAGGTCTGACTGGGAGTTACAGGTCCAGGCGGCATCAGCATGTATGAGGGCCAGAACCACTCTACAGTAGGAGCAGAGGGGTCCGTTCTGCAAGGCTGAGAAGGAAAGCCTGCGTAGGAAGTCATTCGGCAGCATCTCTTTCCCACTAGGGTGCAGATTCCATAAGGCCATGACTGCTCGAAGAAATAACAGTAGCATAAAAAAGGAGTCTCCCAGGTGGAAAAAGTTGGCACAGGGCAGTATGTGAAGCTGTTGGTTGCTTGAAACAGGAATGTGAGACACAGAGGAGCCGGGCCTACCAGAACTGGTCTAGAGCTGCCTGCCCTGAACTGCCTTTCTCTCCATGGCTGTAGACTGAGTTCTTGGAGGCTTTGTATCCAGCCGCGCCCCTGTGTTCTTTCTTTCCGTGTGTGCCTGTTTCCTGTCTCCCCAGTCTTGAGCGAGTGGTTTCTTCCTCTGGCCAGAAGAGCTAGACTGACATACTGGTGGAGAGGAGACAGTGCTAGAGGTGTCCCACCCGGAGAGACACGTGCACCCTGTCCATGCATGGGCAGGGGAGTCAGCCTGAGTGTTAAAGAAGAGAAAGGGGTGTTTCAAAATCATTTCAAACTTATAAAAAAGTTGAAAGGAGAATATAAAGAACTTCTCTTCGCCCTTCACCCACAGCCCTTAATTGTGAATGCATTCCCTTTATCATTCTGAGTATATACATATTCTTTTCTTCCTGAATTATATGAGGCGGGGAAGGGATAAGTCTTCTTTGGGACCTGATTAGGATTATGCGTTGTAATTAGTAATCAGTTGTGTAGATACGATGTTTAGGAATATAAAATTGTTGGCATTAGGAAAATGGATCAGGTGTGGATTATCCCAATGAGTTTTAAAGTAATATGCTTTTAGAAGATGAAGGAATTCAGAGGCAGTTTGTTAGATAAACTGATTCAGATAATAGAGCTTCTTCTCATGGTTTTTCCAATGTATGTCTATGTATAATCAATTTATATATTTGTAAAGATGCCAATATTATGAATACATTATTACATTTTGCTCTCTCTGTACATTTTGACTAGAAAGCAAAAGAGTTCTGTGTACAAGTGCTCTAGCAGCCTCTCTTTTGTAGTGCTGAGGTTGAATCAGAAGATAACCGAGAAGAACAGAAACAGGTGCGCTTACTGGAAAGCAGCCTGACACCGTGGGAGGTGTGGTTTGTTGGCAAAGAAAAAGAAGAACGTGACCGGCTGCAGCAAAAAGCTCTGGAGGTAAAACTAGACAGTGTTCTTTTTATTTAATCCATGAGCTCACAAAGTAGAGCTGCTGTTGTAAATTAAAATGCTAATGTTATTATCCCTGAAAACAAAGTTTTTGCATTTGGTTGTGTTCGCTTACTATATCAAATTTAACAATTCATTGCCGAGATAATATACATTCATTATAAGAGCATTTGGAAACTACAGCTGAATGCAGTTAAGAAAATTAAATCTCCTTTCATTTTACCATCTGAAGATAGCCATTGTTGGTAGTGTGGCCTTCCAGATTTTCTTCTATGTAAATTATTTAAAAATAAATATGTGCAAATATATACAGACACAGGAACTTCGCTGTATTTTTATTTAACTGAGGTAAATTCAGCTGTATACACTCAGTAAAACGTCTACCTTCACTGAAACAGAGATTGAAATAGAGACAGGAGGCCGGGCGCAGTGGCTCACGCGTATAATCCCAGCACTTTGGGAGGCCAAGGTGAGAGGATTGCCTGAGCCCATGGGTTCGAGACCAGCCTGGGCAACTTGGAGAGACCCCCATCTCTACAATGAATGAAAAAATTAGCCGGGTATGGTGACACGTGCCTGTAGTTCCAATTACTTGGAAGGTTGAGGCGGAAGGATCACCTGAGTCCAGCAGATTGAGGCTGCGGTGGCCGGGGAGTGTGCCGCTGCCTTCCAGCCTGGGTGACAGAGTGAGACTCCAACTCAAAGAAAAAAAAAGAAATAGTGACAGGAATCTACCGCATAGATCACTAAGCGTGCATGCACCCTCGGGTGAGATGTGCCGGACCAGAGTCTGCGGGTCTCAGGGCATTTTGGTTTCTGTGTGGCTCCCTTCCTCACTCATGGACGTTCCCATGTTTGAGTCTTTTGAGCTTTCACCGTAAGGACTCAAGAAACTAATCGTTTTAGATACACTTTCACACAAGCCACTGAACTCTGAACTCTTACTGTTTGCTGTTCAGAACCCAGCAACCACAGATTTGGGTAGTTTGTCATCCCCCAGACTCACTGTGCAGACTCACTATCTGATCCTTCTTACCCAAACCCAGAAACCAAATTGTTTTGACTGGGGAGGGATACTTCTTGTTTTTAATGAAATAGGATCAAATTCTTTTCTCTACACATTTTTATAACATTGAAAGACAGCTGTCTAATAAATATAGTCTGTATACTTAGAATGTATTAAATATACACTGAAATACAGTTAAGTGGTTCACTACTGTTGAATATTTCAGTTTATTCTAGTATAGTAGTAACCATATTGTTATAAAAATCCTGGAAACTAAAGCTTTTCCTTTTATGATCTTCCTTAAAATGAATTTTTCATATCGATTTGAAACCAATTGTTATTTCTCCAATGATTCTCTAACAAGGTAGGTGTCACATGTTCAGGAGGCTTGGCATGATTCAAATGACTGAAAACTAGTACATTCTGCTGTTTTCCTGTTGCATGATACTGTGTATTCTGAAATACCCGTTTATTCCTGGAAAAGTGTACTATAAGAGTGGCCCTTACGCCCTCTAGCAGAGCACAGAGCTTGAGAGTGGTTTGGTGTCAGGCAGGTTTAAGAAAAGCCCTGGTTCTATAGCCTTTTTACCTGCAGAGTGATCCTATAAGTTATTTAAACTTTTATACTTCAATCTTCTCATCTGTACAACATTGGTAAAGCAAGACCTGTGTCACAGGATTTTTGTGAAGGTTAAATGAAACAAAGTAAAAAATGGCTGACTTTGTTTTTATTACTATTGCTATTTATATCATTGCTATTCATAACCTTCTTAAAGTTTTTTCATTTATTTTCAGAATTAGTGTGCGTTTTTGAGATCCTAGACTCTTACTTCTTTTACCTCAGCCTCAAGTTGTTGTTTGTTCATTTGTTTTTTGAGTTGAAGTTTTACTCTGTCACCTAGGCTGGAGTACAATGCCACCCTCACAGCTACTGCAGCCTCAAACTGCTGGACTCAGGTGATCCTTCAGCCTTCCAAGTAGCTGGAACCAAAGGTGCACACCACCATGCCCAGCTAATTTTATTATTTATTGTAGAGACAATGTATCACCAAGTTGCCCAGGCTGGTCTCGGACCCCTGTGCTCAGGCAATCCTCTCGCCTCTGTCTCCCAAAGTGCTGAGATTATAGGCATGAGTCACCATGCCTGGCTTAACCTTAAGTTTTAAACATTACTAATGCCATTATTTAGTGCAATAGCTTTTTTTTTTTTTTTTTTTTGAGTTGGAGTCTCACTCTGTCACCCAGACTTGGAGTGCAGTGGCCGTTCCTGGCCACCGCAGCCTCGACCTGCTGGGCTCCGGCGATCCTTCTGCCTCAGCCTTCCAAGTTGCCAGAATTATAGGCATGCGCTACCATGCCCGGCTGATTTTTTGATTTATTATAGAGATGGGGGTCTCAAACCCGCGGGCTCAGGCAATCCACTCACCTCAGCCTTCCAAAGGTGCGGGATTACAGGTTGAGCCACCGAGCCCGGCAGTGCAATAGCTTTTAAAAATATTTGTTCACAGTAAGAGATCAATTTTTTTTTTTTTTAGTTGGAGTATCACTCTGTCACCCAGGCTAGAGTACAGTGGCAACTGCTAGGCTCAGGTGATCCTTCCTCCTCAGCCTTCCAAGTAGCTGGAACTATAGGCGTGTGCTACCACACCCAGCTAATTTTTTGATTTATTGTAGAGATGAGGTCTCACCAAGTTGCCCAGGCTGGTCAGAACCTGTGAGCTCAGGTAGTCCTCTTACTTCGGCTTCCCAAAATGCTGGGATTATAGGCATGAGCCACCGCGCCTGGCCAAGATCTATTTTTTTAATGTTACATGAATGTATACCTGCATATATATGTATATACACATCTGAAATAGTATCTTAATTTTGTGCAAAACCTGATATTCTATTCTATTTTTTTTAAAGGCTGATCATAACCCATTAAACTAATTTTATACTCTCAATTTGGGAAAAACTGATCCAGTGAATTAACAATATAGCAGAGTTCACTTTATGATCCTTGGTATTACTTCTAGCCTCACGAGAAGTCACTTGTTATAGTAAGAAAAGGAGGGACCAGGCACAGTGGCTGACACCTGTAATCCCAGCACTTAGGGAGGCCAAGGTGGGAGGATTGCTTGAACGCAGGAGTTTGAGGCCAGCCTAGGCAACATAGCATGACCTCTTCTTTACAAAAAAAAAATTAGCCAGGCATGGTGGTGTGCACCTGTAGTCCCAGCTGCTTGGGAGGCTGAGGTAGAAGCATTGCCTGAGCCTGAGAGGTTGAGGCTGTGGTGAGCCACGATTTTATCACTGTACTGCAGCCTGGATGACAGCATGAGACTCTGAATCAAAAAAGAAAAAGAAAAGAAAGGTCACTTCTAGTCATTTTTGGTTCAGTATACAAAGAAAAGTTAATTTAATTATAGAAAGTAAGAGAGGCTGAGCTTTATAGTCACATGGAACAAAATTGAAATTTTAACCTTGTCATTCTAACTCTGTGACCTTGAGAAAGTTAATTGACTTCTCTGAGCCTCAGTTTCCTTATCTATAAGCCAAATGTTAGAAAGGCAATAGTGAAGTGGTTAAAAGCATACATTTTTGAGCCATGCTTCCTGCATTCAAAATTGGACCTTGGGAAAATCTGTAATCATTCTGTGTCTCAATTTCTGTATTGGTGACAAAGGAGAATAATATTTAGCTCATAGTGATGTTTTGAGGACCAGACGATCATCAGCACATGGCCTAGTACGTAGGAAGCATTCAGTAAAGTTAGTTATTATTATGTGCGGAAGACGGAAATAAGAACTGCTATGAAGATTTGTTTTGAGAACAGATTAAAACAATGAATATACAGTCCCCTATCATAATGAGAAGCATGTACCAGGGCACAATTATGTGTAGTTTACTTGAAGGATTAAAGCCTTTGTATCTATTTAGTGGTTTGACATTTCTAACGGCTACTTTATTACTTAACTCTGAAGTGATTAAACGTTAGCATGAATCTGTGTGCCAGTCGTGCCAGGAGCAGCATGGCATACAGGGCAGCTGCTCCCTTCCTGTGAGCTCATTTGGAGCTTTTGTGTGTTCACATTCTTTTCCTGCCTTTTGTTTTGTTTCCTAAGTCATTCTTGCTTTATTTTTCTGTCTTGATTTACTGTATTCCCTAATTTGTTTACAAGCCAAATCATTAAAAGCACAGATTTTTTTTAACCATAAGGAATAGTTCCTTACAGATCTCTATTAAAGCTGAAAAGCATGAATGTCAAGAAGTACTGTGGCCAAGGTTTCAGTTAGTGACAGAACTGGGACTGGGACTTCGTTGTTTTGACTTCCAGTTTGAGTGCTTTCCCCACAGTTATTAAGAGGTATTTTAGAAATAAATGGGCCAGACTTAGTATTTATTTTTTAACTTAGTCTGGCTTTCTTATTTTATTCCTTTAAAATGTAAAGGAAAATTTATAGAATAGTTGGATTATTAAAAAATCATAGCCATTCATAAATATGATTTTAGCAATAGACATTTAGATTTATTTCAGACATCTCTATAGGACTGAGTTAAAAAATTATTTCAAGTAATTAAAATATCTTACACATTTGTAATTTTTCTTGAGGTAATAAATATGGTAAGCATTGAGCGTGTTATGAAAAGTGAGCATATTGGTTTTGTAGGTCATTTAAATTGTGTATTTTTTATTGTTTTAAATGATTCTTTAGTCAGCTGCCCTAGATTCTTCTGGTCTTTGGCCTATTCTAATTTTTAACATTTGCTTTAACGTTTTAGTATAATCTATTCTAAATTAAATTACCTAGTCTGTGAATAGTCCCAGTGCTTTTTCTTTTTTTACCATCTTGCCCTTGGCCATTTCATTCATCAGCTCTTAATGAAGGAATAGGGCAGGATACAGAGCTGGCGAAGCTCAGAACTGTCCGTTCTTCTGATTTGCCTTCAGTGGTAAAAAAAAAAAATTCTTTGAAATTAAGCAAAACCTATTGAAATATAAATGCATGTTTAGGATCCTCTTTGGATTTTGGTTTTCCATAACCAAGTGTTTACTCCATGGGAAAATAGTGATCTATAATCCTGTTGACATTCAGTGGTGTACCAGAAGACCGTGTGGGGCCTTTTGAGAGAAGACTCCAGCTGTGTCCAGGAAGAGGCTTGCCTTGGTGGGAAACAGATGGAGCCATTCAGAGTGGGCAGTTCTCAGAAGGGCCAGCCTTGACAGGGAGGACTGTCTCAGAATGTGATGTATATTCTGGGTTGGCAAATTACTTGAGCAGACATCTGAGATTAGAGCACTGTTTGAGTCAGTGGTAGCATTTTCTAGGTACTTTTTGACCCTTTCTTCCTCTTTAATCCCTGTATCAATGCTAACTAAAATTGTTAACCATAAAATAGGAATATATGAGCTAACTTTTTTTTTCTGGTCTTTGAGTTTAGTTATAGCAGGACTCTTAAAAAGTCACATGTATAGTCAATCATGTGATTAACTGTACCTTTAAATAATTTTCTTGTCAAGTCTCTATCTACCCTGTTGATACCTTTTGTATTTTATATATTTATATATATACACATATATAAACATACACATATATATGCATATATGAGAGGGGACCCAAAAAACTTGGAATTTATTTATTGAAAATTGTGTATTCTTACGTGTTTAAACTTCAGGTACCTTCAAAGTACTCTTCATTTGATGCAATACAATTATTGAGACACTTTTTCCACTGCTCAAAACAGTTTTTGAACTCATCAATTTTTATGCCTTTTATTAATTCTGCTATTTTTCATTTTACCTCTTCCACATCGTCAAAACATTTCCCTTTGAGGACTTTTTCATCCAAGGAAACAAACAAAAAAAGCCGCTCAGGGTGAGATCAGGTGAATAGGAAGAGTTGGTAGGACACAGGGGTCATGTCATTTTTGGTGAAAAACTGCTAAATACTCATCGTGGTGTGGGCAGGTATGCTTGTAAATCACCCATCACGAAATGGGCAAACACATTGAACAACTCTCCAAAAAAATTTCACTGAACTGAATGTAACCTCTCACAACAATGCTAGCTGGTACACTGATGCCGACGGATTCCCGAACACTTCTCTAGCGGGGATAGCCTGTACTATAAAGAGCCCGCCCTCCAAAAGATAATTTTATTTTTGGGGGCGTCTCTTCTCATATACATATACATGAGTATGTGTGTACATAAATATATATATTTTCCCCATTGTTTCTTGACACAAGTCTAGACCTTTTCCTTACAACCTCTGTACCTTGACAGTCTCCTTGTCAGTTTCCCTCAGATTCGTTCTGATCCTTTCAATTGCAGTCTTCAGCTTTTGTCATTAAGAGCTTTGAATCATCTCTTTTGCCATGTATTCTTGCGTCATAGTGTTTAGATGACTGTGCCTGTCTCAAAAGACCTTCTAGACCATCTAGTTAGTACCACACCCGGGTTTTCTACCCTGCCCTCCCATCTCCTTTCTCTTCAACCCATCTCCTCTCTGTTCCTCGGCCACACTGTTTTTCCTCATCTTCCCTTCCTTTCTCTGAACTTCACAATAACTCACAAGGTAGCACTTACCTCCTTGGTGTATGGAGGTTCCAATTAGATAGAGACCTTGGTGTATGGAGGTTCCAATTAGATAGAGACCTCAGTCTTAGTTCTTGCTAGCTGTAGTAGGGGCACCATAAAGTATACTGACTGAGTAAGTCTTCAAACAGTAAGAGCTCAGGAGTAGTGACGAATCCTTAAAACAAAGATAGATATGTGTGTTGGGGGTATAGTGTTTAAAAACTGGAAGACTTTCTGAGTGAAGACAGCTGTGTTCTGTGCAGAATTTTAGGATAAGAGGTTTTGGAAGAAAGATTTCCTGTGACCATTTGTTCTAAAGATATGTTCCTAGTGTCGAGTTTTATCCTCATTTAAGACACTGGAATGGATCTTGGAAAATTGTCTTTCCCACTACCACCCATACCCAGGTAGGTAGGTCTTTGGGAAAGAGAAGTTTGGGGAGGAAGAGTGGGGACCAACGGAAGATATGTAAAAGTATCTGATTATTAGTAGCTAAAGAAAGAAGAAAAATAACCAGTAATTATGGTTGTAGAACCCTAGCAAAGTCTAGTTTGAACAGCATTCTCAACTAATGCAGTAATTCAACTGATGAGTGACAGAGTGGTATCATTCAACTAGTAGTTTTATTTGGCCATACCTTTCACATTCTTTTTCCTGAGGAAGTGCCCAAACGTGTAGATTCGAGTGACAGCAAGGCAGTTAAATAATCTGGGATATGAATGTGGTTTTGTTTTATACTCCAGCAGCTATAAAACCAGTGACGAAAACTCTGGATTCTTTTTTTCCTAAGGAAAATGGAATAGCTTCCTTACATTTCTTCTTTGGTGTAACTCTGAATTGAATTTTTAATTTAAGGATTATTTAATTCCTATCCTTTATCTTCATCAAGAATCTAGAAGCTTTTTATAACTGTAAAAAAAGTTGCAATTCTCTTGAGCTTCTGCCAATAGCTTACAGTGATGCCAAAATTTATGTGTGGGAAAGTTGATTTCAACGAGGGTAATTTAGCTGAAGTTTAGTCTAAGAAACCAGTGTTTTGCTGCCAAGCAATTATTTGCACATTTCTAAAAAACGACTTACACTTTTTACCAGCGCTTTCTTTCATCATAGACGAATCATTTAAGTAAGTTTTTGTCACTAGTGGCATATCCCCTGTAAAGGAAACTATATTCTTGTTTAATTTGGTTAATTGCAGCCTTTTAAAAAATATGTGATGTGAATACGTCTATTAATTGTTGCCTTTTGTTTCAATAAAATGCACAGGAACTCAATCAACAACTCGAAAAAATAAAAGAAATGGAAGAACGTGAAAAAAGAAAGATAATTGCTGAAGAAAAGCACAAGGAGTGGGTTCAGAAAAAGAACAAGCAGGTAAGTAGGAAAGAATGCACACACTTGGTGACATCTCTTTTGCAAAGTCTTTCTTCCCATTGCCCCTCGTTATCCAGGTTTTTAAAAATATTTCTTCCCATTGCCCCTGTTATCCAGGTATTTAAAAATAGTGCGCTTCTGTAGTTCCGATTACTTGGAAGGCTAAGGCGTACAGATCACTGGAGCCAAGAGGGTTGACATTGGGTTGGCCGTGAGTGTGCTACTGCTCTCCAGCCTGGGTGACAGAGTGAGACTCCAACTCAAAAAAAAAAAAATTTTTTTTCTCATAGATTCTTCCTCCTTGGGCTTGTTTTTTCCCCCACCTTGGTGGACATCTTCCAAGCTTCTGTCTCCGGCCCCCTGCTCTCTGCTTTCCTCCTCTTTCCCGCCCGGGGCTTCCACTCATACCTGCCTGCAGACAGTCCCCAGGTCTCTATCTAGGCCTGATCTTCTGGAGCCTGTGGTGGCACCTCCCTGTCTACCAGTCTGAAGCCACCCATCTTTGCCCATTCCGCCTTCCTAGAAGTGCTCTTCTAACTGCCTTATGTCTGCTTTTAGTTCTGCTGTCCTCTCAGCCACCCAGGCATCATTAGAGTTCTTCTGCTCCCGGTCATCTCCTTTTCTTTGCAGTTTCTACTCCCCTGTTTGTGGTCTCTTGCCTGGTGATCTCATTACATCTTTCAGCTTATTTATTGTTTACTTCCCCTTCCTGGTATGTAAGAGCCATAGGGACAGGGATTTTGCCTCTTTATTTGAGTTCCCCAGTAGGTGGCCAAAAATACTTGTTGAATGAACAACTCCATGTGTCCCTGCCAGGCTGATCTTGCTGAAGAAGTCCAAATGTCATTACAGTTCAAAAAATATTTTTCATGGTTCCATACTGTTTTCTGAATAGTATTTTAACAACTGTAGCATGGCTAGTGAGAGACCTTCCCCACTCTGTTCTCTGAGCCCAACTTCCATTCCAGATGTCTCTCCCACCTGTGGTTCCCCTTTCTTGATGCTGTTGCTTCTTTTGGGTTTTTTGGGGAACACACATAGGACTGTCATGGCCCATCTTCTTAGAATATTAGTTTTACTGGAAAATTTTGAGAGGAAGCATGTTATATTTTACTTTTTTATTTTTTTGAGTTGGAGTCTTACTCTTGTCACCTAGACTGGAGTGCAGTGGCACGCTCATGGGCACCACAGCCTCGACCTGCTGGGCTCAGGCGATCCTTCCACCTCAGCCTTCCAAGTAGCTGGAATTACAGATGCACACCACCACGCCCGGCTAATTTTTGTGATTTATTGTAGAGATGAGGTCTCACCAAGTTGCCCAGGCTGGTCTTGAACCCCCCGGGCTCAGGCAATCCTCTTGCCTCAGTGTCCCATGGGATTACCATGGCTGAGGCACAATGCCCGGCCTATATTTTTATATTAAAGCAAGCACAAATATGTAATGGAGTAGAACATAAGTTTTGGGTTGTTGGTTGGTTGAATCGGGACTCTCACTGTCACTCAGGCTGAGTGCAATCACGGCTCACCTCAGTCTTGACCTCAAGTTTTCAGGCAATCCTTCTGCCTCAGCCTTACAAGTAGCTGGGTCTACAGGTACGGGCCAGTAGCAAAGAATATGCCTGGCTAATTTTTTTATTTATTGTAGAGACAAGGTCTTGCCTTGTTGCCCAGGCTGGTCACGAACTTTTGGGCTCAAGCAGTCCTCTAACCTTGGCCTCCTGAAGTGCTGGGATTATAGGCAGGAGACACTGCACTCAGCCAAGTTATATATTATTTTAAAGATAGATAGTTTTATAGAAATCTTGAGCTTTGGGCTGAGCATTGGGCTTTGAACTCGCAACCCCCAAGAATATATGTTCATGAGAAATGTTGAGAATGCTTCCTTTCTTCTGCTTCTTGCATCCTTCTTTTTTTATATGTGATATTTCATCAGCGTAGACTTTCATCAAATCCTCCATCCTTCCATTCTTTCCCTTAATTCAACTCAGATCATGTCTTACATGAAGCATTTGCTGATCATGTGCTGGAGATCCCTTCCTGGGAATCCTTGTTCAGTTTATATCACTTCTATGGCACTTTATTGTGTATATATTTTGTTGCTGTTTTGTAGTATGTATATATCTTCATTTCTTTTGTAATTTTAAGAACCTTAAGAACAGGAACTATTTTTGAATATTTTTATCTATTATAAGATCTAGCATAATGCTTTGCTTATAGTAAGCATCTGTTAATTGGATGAATAAATTTTTTCCTTAAACTTTTAATGTGTTCTTATATTGAATCACACATTAAAAATTGTTTGAAATACTGTTGTCAATTTGTCTTCTGTTGTGATTTTTATATAATTGATACTGCTTTTATTATTATTTTCTGACTTTATAAATGTAGACAATTGTTTAAATTGTAGGACATAATTTTACATTCATTTTCAATTCTAATTTTTGTCTTTATGTTGAATATAATGCCTAGTGGTATTAATAAGAGTACAAAGTAAATCATTTCAGTAAATTGAAAATGACATAGACTGTTTCATCCAGGCGTTGTAAGAAATAAATTGGTTAGACATATGTGAGTGTTATACCCATAAACGTATTTGTTTAAAAGTCAATGATTGTTTTGGTTTTTGAAAGTTTACTTTATCCCATAGTATAACAAGAATGAGTTCTTTGTGAATAAATGCCAAAATGAAAACAAGTCTGTGTGACCATTACAACACTTTGTGTAATACCTTCTTGAAGTTCCTAACTATAAAGCAGAGTCATTTTACATGTGCAAAATAGTTTCTCCCTCTAAAAGCCCCTCTTATCTTCTGCCTCCATTAAGCTAATTTTACCATGCCAATCAACATCGTTGTTGTTTGTGTAAGAGTGTAAGATACTGCTGAGAGATGATGTATTCACCATTTAATTAGTGGCAGTAGACCTAATCCAATTATTTGAGAAAAAGATTCTTTCTTTTGGAGGGAAGTGGCTTGCCCCGACATAAATCACTAATTATTGAAGGCAAGATTCCATAAGGTTGAGAATAGTTCAGAACTGAGCCCTGAGAAGTTAAACGACCTGTTCTGCAGAACTCTTGTGCCTGTTAAGGATAATTGATTATTCTGATTTTTTCTTTAGGACCTATCGGGTTTCTTAGTTCAGACTCAGTAACGTTTACCTATGTTTGTAAAGGCTGCTCTCCTGGTTCTTCTCTTCCTGTCTGGCATCTAGCTTGTTTCTCCTCTGTTTACATTTCATGGTGTGTGGTCCCCACTGCCTCCAGCCTCATTCACATTTTAGCTGGATCTGTGGCTGCTATTTTCTCTAAGTCGTTTTCACTGGATTCTATCAAAGAATCAGACAAAAAGGATTTATGTCTCCATTAGTAAAGCTGGTTTCTCATAATGTAACTGTAAATTGTTAAATGCTTTTAAAATACATGGCTTATCTCATCTGGTACTCTTACATTTGTGTTGCCATACTAATTTATTTTTCGGATTTGTTTATCATAGTGTGTTATCACATATTTTGTACAGGGGCCTTTACTTATAGTGTTAGGACTATCAGGGTACACTTTTATTTTTAAAATAAAGTTGTTTTTGATTCTCAAAATACAACTTTTAAAAATGTAAAACTTTAATTCAGACCAACAAGCTGTATGATTGATAATACTGTTATCAGGGTATCATTTATGCTTTCTTTTTTTTTTATGCTTTCAGCAGATATTTACTAAGCCTTTACTATGTGCCAAGCATGACTGGGGTACCTAAAACAGAAATTTAAGAGCTTTGAGAAGCCAGTTGTTGTATTGGTTTCCCTTAGTTGTAAGAAACAGAGGTTCTCTCGGAGCACCATCCTGAAAAAGGAAGATTTCCTGTTGTGTTCTGTGTGTAGAACTAGCAAACTGAAGAATCTGCAGCCCCTTAGCTGCTGGCCTGCCCCCTCCTCCCTCCCCCTCTTCCCTCCCTAGTTGACCACACTGAGTGCCTGCTCTGTTCTCCATTTGCTAACTAAGGGTATTTATGCTCTCTTCTTTACTGAAAAATCCTACAGAGAGTCTGTCTGAGTTTTAAAAATTAATTTCGTTGAGCTATAATTTATAAACAAAAAAAATACCTATTTCCGGTTTGGTGGCTTTGGCAAACTGAGGTGCCTCCGTCAAGATACAGAGCATAGGTTCCCTCGTGCCCGTCACCTTCACTCCCTCTCCCTGCCTCATGCCCACCCCACCTCCGGGGAAGCCATTAATTTGCTCTCCGTGCCTATAGGTTAGCGTCGCCTTCTCTAGAATTTCATATAAATGGAATGATAGAGTATATCTTCTTTTGTGTTGCTCTTTTGTTATTAAGTGTATCCTGATAGTTCTTGTATTGCTGATTTTGTTTTATTGCCGAGTAGTATTCTCTAGAGGATCCCACCCTGCTTAACTGTTCACTGGCTTATGGACAATTGGGTTGTTTTCAGTTTGAGGGCGTTATGAATACCATTCTAAGGCTGGAAGTTAAGCTGGAGGTGTCTGCAGGTTTGGTTTCTTCTGAGGCATCTTTCTTGGGCCTGCAGTTGGCTGTCTTTCCATGTCCTCACACAGATTTTTCTCTGTGCACAAATATCCTTGGTATCCTAGAAGGGCACTGGTCCTGGTAGATTAGTGTCTCATCCTTATGACCTCTTTTAAACTTGATTATCTCTTTATTTTTTTGTTTATTTGTTGTTTGTTTTTTAGTTGGAGTTTCATTCTTATCACCCAGGCTGAAGTACATTGGCATGCTCACAGCCACCGCAGCCTTGACCTGCTGGGCTTAGGCGATCCTTCCATCTCAGCCTTCCAGGTAGCTGGAACTACAGATGCATGCCACCATGCCCAGCTAGTTTTTCTGTGTGAGCTATTGTAGAGACGAGACCTCACCAAGTTGCCCAGGCTAGTCTCGAACCCCCGGACTCAGGCAGCCCTCTTGCCTCGGCCTCCCAAAGTGCTGGGATTACAGGCTGAGCCACCACGCCAAACCTTGATTATCTCTTTAAAGATCAGCTCCAAATACACCCATATTGGATTTAGGGCTTCAACACAGGAATCTGGGGGAGGAGAGGGTACAATTTTCTCCATAACACTTAGTAACCATTTCTAGTTTCCTTTGTTGTTGGCTTGGCTTGTTTTATGTTTATTTAAATCTTTTGCCCATTTTTTTTGAGTGTTATGTAACTTATTAAGATATAAAAGTTCCTTGCATAGTCAGGCTACAGGTCCCTTATCAGCTGTATGTGTTGCAAATATTTCCTCCCATTTAATGTTTTTTTTTTTTTTTAACTAACCACAAAAAGAAGCACTGGTTAATGGTATTAGTTAAAGAGCAGGACTTTTAAATTCTGATGAAATTCCATATTTCAGTTTCTTTTTTTATAGTTTGTGGTTTTTGTGGCCTCTTTAAAAAATGGGCCAGATGTGGTGGCTCACACCTGTAATCCCAACACTGTGGGAGGCTGTGGCCAGAGTTTGAGACCATCTTGGGCAACATAGTAAGACCCTGTTTCTAGCAGAAAAATGAAAATTAAAAAATGGCAGCCATAGCCGGGCTCAGTGGCTCAGCCTGTAATCCCGCGCTTTTGGGAGGCTGAGGTGAATGGATTGCCTGAGTCTGCGGGTTCAAGACCTGCCTGGGCAGCGAGACCTCATGTCTACAATAAAAATAAAAAAATCAGCTGGGCATGGTAGCGCATGCCTGTAATTCTGGCTACTCAGAAGGCTGAGGCGGAAGGATCGCCGGAGCCCAGCAGGTGAGGCTGCGGTGGCCAGGAGCAGCCACTGCACTCCAGTCTGGGGACCAAGTGAGACTCTAACTCAAAAAAAAAAAAAAAAAATGGCAGCCATAAAAAAGAACCAACATGGATATAGCTAGAGGCCACTGTTCTAAGCCAATTAAGGCAGAAACAAATCCAAATACTGCATCTTCTCACCTACAAGTAGGAGCTAAACACTGGGTACACACAGACATAGAGATGAGAAAAACAGACATTGCAGACATCCTAAAGTGGGGAGTGAAGGGGCCAAGGGTTGAAAAACTACCCACTGGGTACCCATTTGGGTGATGGTTTCAGTAGAAGTCCAAACCTCACTGTAACACAATATACCCATGAAATAATCCGACATGTGTACTCCATGAAGTTAAAAACCAAACAAACAGTATTTGCCCATCCTAAGAGTGTAAAAATATTCTCCATTATTTTCTTCTATAAGTTGTATAACTTTATTTATTTATTTATTTTTGAGTAGGAATCTCACTCTGTCACCTGACTGGAGTGCAGTGGCACGCTCATGGCCACTGCAGCCTCAACCCTGCTGGGCTCAGGCAGTCCTTCCTTCAGCCTTCCAAGTAGCTGGAAATATAGGCATGTGATACCATGCCCAGCTTATTTTTTGATTTATTGTAGAGACGAGGTCTCACCAAGTTGCCCAGACTGGTCTCAAACCCCTGAGCTCAGGCAGTCCTCTCACCTTGACCTCCCAGAGTGCTGAGATTACAGTCTTGAGCCTCTGCACCCAGCCAAGTTGTATAACTTTAGCCTCACCTATGTATTTATTTTGAGTTACTTTTAATATATGACATGTGTTAAGGGTCATAGTTCATTGGTTTACATAGGGATAACCATTGTTCCAACACTTTATTGAAAAATTGATCCTTTCTCTATTAAACCACTTTGACATCATTGTTTAAAATCAACTGACCATATATGTGTGGGTCTATTAATGGACTCTGTTCTATTGATTTATATCCTATGCTAGTACCACACTTAATGGTTACTATAGTTTTATAGTGCTTGAATTTGTAATTCTTGAAGTCAGATAGTGTAAAGCTTCCTTTTATTTTCAACCTTGTTTTTGTTACTCTGCATGTTTCCATATAATTTTAGAATCAGCTTATCAATTTCCCTAATAATGCCTACCCTAATAGTGCTTGGCATTATTGGGATTGTGTTACATATGAATACATAGATGATTTTGGAGGATATTGCTATCTTAAAATATTACATTTTAAATCTATAAACATGACTTTTCCTTCCAGTTATGTATATCTTCTTTAATTTCAGCAGTGTTTTTTAGTTTTCAGTGTATAGCAGTATTGTACATCATTCGTTAAATGTTTTTCTAAGTATTTCAGTTATCTTGCCTTGTTCTGTTTATCTTGCCTTGTTCCTTTTATCTTGCAATTTCCATGCCTGGTTTTGATATCAGAATAATACTGGGCTTTTCAAATGAGCTTGGAAGGCTGGGCACAGTGGCTCATACTTATAATCCTGACACTTTGGGAGGCTGGAGGTGAGAAGATTGCCTGAGCCCATGGGTTCGAGACCAGCCTGGGCAACCTGGCAAGACCTCATCTCTACAATAAATAAAATAAAAGTAAAGTAAAGTAAAATTTTGTGTGTTCCCTTTTTCTCTGTTTTCTAAAGTAATTTGTGTAGGATTTAGTATTGTTAAAATATGCCACAGTAATATTTCAGATTATTAAAATATGGAGTATTCTTAAATATATGATAGAATCTACCAGTGAAGCTAGCAGAGGCTGGAGTTATTTATAGGAAAGTTAAAAAAAATTAAATATAACTGAAGATATGATACACATTTTGAATTCTTTTCAGAAGCAGAGGGTTATTTAGACACTTCTTGAATTTGTTTTGGGAAATGATATATTTTAAGAAATTTTGGCATTTCATTTAAAATGTTGAATTCATTGGCATAAAGTAGTTTTTCAGATGCTCTCATTTTGATGTCTGTGTGCTCTGTAGTGGTCTGCCACTCACCATCGTTGTGACCTTGGGCAAATCACTTGTTCCCTGTGTGCCTCTTTTGTGAAATAGGATAATAACAGTGTCTCCCTCAATGTTGCGATTTTAAGGGTTATCTGACAGTACACACATACGAAGTATGTAGATCAGTAGCGGCATAGTTAACTCTCTATATATCTTGGCTGCTGTCCTTAACAACAGTGTAAGAACTGGATGATCCCTTACTGATGGAGTTGTGGAAGAGTTTCATGAGTCACGTGGAGACCGAGCGATATATACTCCAAGTTGTTTTCAGTTTGTCGATTTTCTGCCAGTATGAAGTAGTTAAAATCTAGTTTTGTTCAATGGCTGTTGAGCTCTCAGCATGGTAGTGCTCTGTGTCACCGCTATTGGCTCCCCAGCAAGAAAGAAACAGTAACTTGGGGAATTACCTAGGCTTTGATTTTTAAGACCTGCCTTTCCTGCACAGCACTGAAGATAGATTGTATGTAATTGATATTTGTTAGTTGGGTGTTAATTGAATTGCTTTAATGGAAGAATTCTACACGATACTTTTAAGGCTAGGTGTAATCCCAACACTTTGGAAAGCCCAGGTGGAAGGATTGCTTGAGCCCAGATCAGCCTGGGCAGCATAGTGAGACCTCACCTTTACAAAAAATCAAAAAAATTAGCCAGGCATGGTGGCTTGCATGTAGTCCCAGCTACTTGGGAGGCTGAGGGAGAAGGATTGCCTGAGGCCAGGAGGTCAAGGCTGTGGTGAGCAGCCCTGATTGTGCCTGTGACTCCGTCCAGCCTGGGCAACAGAGTGAGACAGCAACTCCAAATAAAAGAAAAGAAAAGCTTTCAAGAGAATTTCTTCTACTGGCTCAAGTTTCTTTGCCTCATGAAGGGTGATGTGGAAGGCATTTATTATAGTTGCTTTTTATACCTTGCAGATTAGTTCCTAAACCTTTGATAAAAAGAACTAGCTATGTCATTGGTTATTTCAAATTTAGCCGTGTTGGTGGGTTATCTTTTGAATAAAAAGGAAAAAATGTTGAGTTACAGTCTGTGTCAGCGATCAGTAATTTTTTTTCTGTAAAGGGCCCATTAGTGCATATTTTAGGCTCTTTGAGCCATACAGTGTCTGGTGTAACTATTCAACTTAGCTATTGTAGTGCCAAAGCCTCCATAAACAGTCAATATGTAAACAAGTAGGTATGGCCACACTCTTATAAGACTTTATTTACGAATACAGATGGCTTGTGGACCAGATTTGGCTAATTGCTGGCATCAGTTTTCCACCTCTGGCCTATGTGAGAATTTGATAGCCAGAGATTTGCCTGAATGTGCCCTTACATACAGCATTTCATGGGCATTATTCATTGGTCCTTTGTAACTCACAGATGACAAAGATTTATGAGTATTAATATTGGCAAGCTGTTCAGAAAATATGTACATATGTGGCTCCTATTTTAGAGTATCTATTAAACAATGCTGAAATTCAGGACAATGTAACAGATTGTAATTTTTACTCTCTAATTTATTCAAGAAAACTTTATTGGGCACCTACTGCTTAGTATACTTTGATGACCAAGATCACTGGTCTCATGAAACTTACAGCCCAGCAGGTAGACTGACATTGAACAGTAAATTGCAGGTATGTTGTGTATTTTTGTTTTTGTTTTTTAGTTGGTCTCACTGCACATCCAGACTGGAGTGCAGTGGGACACTTGCAGCCACCACAGTCTCGACCTGCTGGGCTCAGGCTATCCTTCTGCCTCGACCTTCCAAGTAGCTGGAACTACAGGCATGTGCCACCATGCCCAGCTAATTTTTTGATTTATTGTTGAAACGAGGTCTTGCCATATTGCCCAGGCTGGTCTCGAACCCCTGAGCTCAGGCAGTCCTCTCGCCTCTGCCTCCCAAAGTGCTGGGACTACATGTGAGCCACTGTGTCCAGCTTGTTGTGTATTTTCATAAACCACATTGTACCAACCACTTTGATACCACCTATTTTAAGAAATAGCTGAAGTTTAGAGAATTACTATATATAACAGTTTTTTCGTATGTGAGGATATTTACAGGTATTCCAGTTAAAATTTCTCCATTTTTATTTAAGAAAAGAAAGGAAAAGGAACAAAAAATTAATAAAGAAATGGAGGAAAAAGCAGCAAAGGAGCTGGAGAAAGAACATTTGCAAGAAAAAGCAAAAGAAAAATATCAAGAATGGTTGAAGAAAAAAAATGCTGAAGAATATGAGAAGAAGAAGAAAGAAAAGGTATTTTATTGAAGTGGCTAGTTGGAATACATGGCTTTGGTGTTTATATATGTTGACTATATCTTAGAAGTATCTGATAGAAAATTGGCACCAGCTTAGCATAAAGTAAATACATGATGCTATCCCTGTTCTCTTATGCAAATGAATATGCATTTGTGATTTTATTGGGTTAAGAAATTTTAATAAGCCTGTTGATATTTTTTCAGTTAATCTCAAAACTTGCTACTTCTTTTATATATTTTTCAATGCACTTTTATGGAAAATCTTATTACCATATTATAAACCACAATTGTTTTTTAAAATAGCAAATTGCTTTTTTTCTTTGTGGGTTGAATGTCTCATTTAGAGGTAGAAACCTTAATGTTCACATTCCCAGTCATGCTCAATTTTGCATTCATACCATAAAAAACATGATTCAGTATTGTGGCCCGTAAGACATAGAGTGGGAAGCTACTGGGGAAAAAAGTAGAATTCAAAAGGAATATTCAGTGACAGAATATCCCTGGAAATTGTTCGGTCTTGTCGTTTTAAGGAGAAAGAAAAACAACGGCAAGCTGAATTACAGGAGAAGAAGGAAATTGCAGAAAAAAAGTTTAAGGAATGGTTGGAAAATGCAAAAAATAAACCTCGCCCAGCTGCAAAGAGCTATGGTTATGCCAATGGAAAGCTTACAGGTTGGTTTTTATGTTATGCGGCTTGCATAAATATGGTTTGCAGAAGCAAATATTATACATTTTGTTTCTTTTTGACAGAAATAGAAATGTGTAAAAATCATTTTTCTTTCAAATTACTATTTTCTGGAAGATTATCTTATACTATGTTCCTATGGAGATAATACACATTTACTGTCATTCTCCATAAATCAGATATATGCATTTCTTAAAAGCAGTAGTTGCAAAACTGCAGACTTCAGCTTTAAAGTAATGACTTTTCTAACATTAAGAAGTGAAATTCTCTTACGTTTCTTCGATGATGAAACTTTTATCAGGATCTATTTAAGGGGTCATTTTGCACCCCCCAACCTTCTCTGGGGAGCCTTCCCATGTCTTGGGCACATTCTTTGTGCTGTGTAGAATACTAGACAGCACGTGAACAGACACAGAACCGACGGCCTGGAGGCTTGGACTGTTGTAAATGGCAGTGCATGATTTTTCTTTGTGCTTCACATTGGAAGCTCATACCTTGCTGACAGCCGCCTTCACTTGTTTAAGTGATTTATTATTAAAAATACTCCCATTCTGTTTTGTTCACACAATAGAACATATTCCAGACTTTGTTTTGACCATCTTGGTGAAGTGAGTGTTGACATATCTATGCAAAGGGGGTTGCCAGTGTCTGAAAGACACATTCCTGCTGTCAGGATGAGGCCTCTCTCGCATGCCATGAGGGTCACCCGTTCCAGCTACAGCTACTGACGCGGCCTGTGCCTTCTGTTTCTTGTTTGAAGAGAGGGCAGTGAGCAGTACTTTACCCTAATGATTGCATAGGAAAGTTAAAAGTTTAGGTGGGAATTTACATATTGGCTAGAATTTAGTTGCTAAAATCATGGATTGTTTCATCCTTTTTTGCATTTTTGGTGAGTTTTAACGAGCAACATGTTTGTCTGCAAGTGCTCTACTCATGTCTCTATCTTTATGCTCATGTCGTTTTTATAGATTATGAAATAAGACAGTGTTTGTGCCTGTAGTGATTTGGAGATCTGCAAAATGTTCTTCATGCACATGGTTACGAGGTGGCAGGCATCACAGTGTAATTAGCAATCAAAATTACGGTGATATCGTGAGGTCTAATTGAGTGACAATCAGATTTCTCTGATTCTAAACAAGAGTCTTTATTCACTGTAACTACATTTGAAAATAGATTTTTTTCTTTATACTTTAGTGTCTGACCAAGTGCACAACCAGTAGTTTCCCAGACTGAGCTAAGAAAATGAAGGTGTTCAATTTAAGGATTCTAAAATTAATTTCGTAGTAAATTTTTTGTGGGAATTTTTATTTATGTAGCTTTTAACATTAACATTATTTGGATTTTAGAATTATTTGTATTTTAATTGTTACTGTAAGCTTTACTGTATTTGGGAAGTATTACTTAATTGAAAATATTCAAGAGTTGAGTTTTTAATGAGTCAAATTGCTACATTCACTTATATTTTGTCCACTTGACTTTTTAACATGTTTCTAGGAATTTTAAATTAAGTGGTTTTTTTGATCCCAAGAAATAAAATTATTTTTCAATAATTTTAGGTTTTTACAGTGGAAATGCCTATCCAGAGCCAGCCTTTTATAACCCAGTTCCATGGAAACCAATTCACATGCCCCCTTCCAGAGAATCTAAGGACCCCTCATCGAGAAAGAGTAAAAGGCCTATGAAGAGCCAGCCACACCAGCCCTCCTCTCTGACCATCTACAAAGCCAGGAGCAACCTTTGCCTGGGAACTCTGTGCAGAGTACAAAGATAGCACATGTGGGAACAGCATGCTTTTACCTGGAGCTATTTAATTTTAAAATTAGAAATTGTTTCTTACTGCTCAGAATATAGACAGGTACCAATTTTTGCATTTGTATATGGAGTCCTTAGAGTTAATCGAGGAAGATATTTTCTACATTTTGTTTTGCATGAACCTTTCAATATTGACTTTGGCATACTGTTTTGCAGGATAATTGACTGAATATGTGACAATTGTGTTTGAATTTAAACTACATGCTAATACCAATAAAGCCAATTTGTCTTTTTTTTTTTCCCCCATTTTTCCTGTGATTAGTTTATGTTTATGACCATAATAAGATTAGGGTTAATTTGTTCAAGCAAGCATTTCTAAACTGTGTAATTGGAATAACTCTTATAAGAACCTAAATGGGTTAGAGTCCTAGAGTAATCAAAAACAGTCTCTGTTGATGGCTTTCGGTGTAATTTTCCCTGTGTGGATATTTTAAAATTAACTAACTGGAGGCATGTTTTGTAACAAAAAAATATGAGTTGGGGTTTTCAAAGGAACTTTTTTGAGCCGGGGTCTCGCTGTATCACCCAGGTTGGAGTACAGTGGCACAATCATGGCTTACCATAGCCTTTACCTCCTGGGTGCAGGTGATACTTCCCAAGTAGCTGGGTCTCCAGATGCACCACCATGTCCAGATAATGTTTAAAATTTTTTTGTAGAGATAAGGTCTCGCTATGTTACCCAGGCTGATCTCAAACTCCATGGCTCAAGCAGTCCTTCTGCCTCGACCTCCCAAAGTACTTGGATTACAGCATGAGCCACTGTGCCCAGCCTCAAAGGAAAATTTAAAAACATTGTTTTGTGCTCTGTTCTTTGATGTGTTGTCATCTTGAGACACTAATAATATTTTGCTACACTTCAAAAATATGTATACACTAATGATAATTAGATTGCTGGTTTTGAAATTAGGTTTATCAGTGCATTTTTAAAAATATTCAAAGTCAAATGTTAAGTGATATGTTACTGAGATGAATATCACAGATTTTATTCATAAATACTTTTTAAGGATAGTAGTTCGAATGATTACCAAAAAAGCACTCCATACTTTCTATTACATTTAAATGTCTGTCATATTTTTTAGGGATGATCAAGAAATGAAAGTTTCTTACGGCGATGTAAGAGTCAGCGTATTCATTTAAAAGCAGTGCCTATTAAGAATATATTCCCTGTTCCTGCCGGATGAGCCATCCAGATGTCTGGTACTCTGCAGTGGTGTTGGTCAGTGCAAAGCAATAGAAGCAGAATCTCTGAAGGGCATTCGTGTCAGCAGGTGTCTAGGAAAACTCACTTCGAAGCAGAGAACAGCTTGTTAGGAATCAGTAGAGTTTGTTGGGTCAAAATACCACTGAGATTTAAAGGCCTGACCATACTTCTCAGAACCTCTCAGATAACAGTGAGACTTCCAGTGATCATTCCACTTGAGCACATTTACCTACAGAGAGAATGGAGAATTTGCCAGGGTAGCAATAATCTTGTGTGTAAAACTCATATAGTGAACATAGGCCTGAATTCCTGGGGGTTTTAGTTATTGTTCTATCTAATAAACCTTCAGTTTCACAGAGTAGATTACCTTTTAGCTGCAACTATAAGACTAAAGTTGTTCAATCATTGATTATTCATATACATATATATGTATCCTGAGTTTTTACTAGTTTGAATTTCCTGCTATTGTAATTGTCATGGCAAGCTTCTGGAAAACTTAAAGCAAGGAATTGATAAGATCTGGTTTGTGGCCAAGCTCGGTGGGGCTCAGCCTGTCATCCCAGCACTTTGGGAGGCCAAGGTGAGGGGATTGCCTGAGCCCACGGGTTCGAGACCAGCCCAGGCAACTTGGCGAGACCTCGTCTCTACCAATACATCAAAAATTAGCCGGGTGTGGTAGTGCACGTCTGTAGTTCTGGCTACTTGGAAGGTTGAGGGGGAAGGATCACCGGATCCCAGCAGGTCGACACTGGGGTGGCCGTGAGCGTGCCACTGCACTCCAGCCTGGGTGATGGAGTGACACTCCAACTCAAAAAAAAAGATCTGGTTTGTTCGTTGAGATTGCTGTAACTGCTGTGAGGAAATTGGCGTGTTGGGCAAAGAATGGGATCAGGGATACTCACTTGGAGGACTTTGTAGTATCCAGCAGAGAGGCCATGGCAGCTTGGATTAAAGATGGCAACAGGAAGTGGTAAGAAGTAGAGTTGAACTGGGCACACCTTTTGTAGATGGGGCAAACAGGCCCACTGGCATCTGGATGTCAGATTGGGAGAAGGAGGAAAAATCAGATGTGACTTCTAATATCTGGGTGAATGACAACTAGATCAGCAGCTAGAACAGCAGGGGAAGATTTATAGGAGCAGGTATGTGGGCTGGCTGGAGGTCTTTAAGAATTCTGTCTTGGGGCCGGGCTTGGTGGCTCAGCCTGTAGACCCATCACTTTGGGAGGCCGAGGTGAGTGGATTGCCTGAGCCCGCGGGTTCGAGACCCACCCGGGCAACTTGGTGAGACCTCATCTCTCCAATACATCAAAACTTAGCCGGGTGTGGTAGCATGTGCCTGTAGTTACAGCTACTTGGAAGGTTGAGGTAGTAGGATTGCTGGAGCCCAGCGGGTTGAAGTTGTGGTGGCCGGGAGCGTGCCACAGCACTCCAGTCTGAGCAACAGAATGAGACTCCAACTCTAAAAAAAAAAAAAGGTTGTCTTGGATGTGTTGTTTGTGATACCAACTTAATGTCCTGGTGGAGATGGTGGTTACATATATGTTAGGTGCTCAGGGGAGAGCAAGAATTGGAGGTATAAAATGAGTAACATCAGCACACAGATGCTCTTAAAAGCGTGGGATTCGATCAGGTTACTTAGGCTAGGCCAAACATGGTGTTTCACGCCTTAATCCTAGCCCTTGAGGAGGCCAAGGCAGGAGGGTTGCTTGAACCTCGGAGTTGGAGACCAGACTGGGCAACATAGCAAGACCTCTTCTCTACAAAAAAATTAAAAAATTTGCCGGACATGGTGGTGTGCACCTGTAGTCCCAGCTACTTGGGAGGCTGATGTGGAAGGATCACCTGAGTCCAGGAGGTCAAGGCTGTGGTGAGCCATGATCATGTCACTGCACTCCAGCCTGACTCAAGAGTGACTTAAAAGTGAGACCCTTACTCAAGAAAGAGAGAGAGCGAGGAGAAAGAAAGCGGCTAGACAGTCAAAAGAAAGGACTGAGTTTTCCAGTGTTTAGAGATGGAGCAGCCAGCGGAGTGGAAGGAACTGACGGAGACGATGTCACCGAACCTGCGAGCAGAGTGCAGTTGAGAGGTGAGAAATGAGCCTTCATTACTGGAGTTTATTCAACAGATGAAGGAAGGTCACTTTCGACCACCGTAGCATTCAGGTGTTAGAGCCTTTCTGTCCACCTGGAATTCTTATGCTTTTGTGTTTGCCGTTTGAGTCCTCACAACAACCCTGTGAGAGCATTGCTTTTATTATCCTCATGTCATAGTTGAGGAAACGGAGACACAGAGAAGCTATCTTGCTTTTACACCTTGGAAAACACAGACCGTGGGACTAAAGTCCAAGCTTAACGATTGCATTGCCTCTCTTAGATCACAAATATGATAAGAAACACCAGTCAGAAACTAGAATCAAATAGCTTGAAGAGAGAATGGGAGATGAGGAAGTGGCAACTGTAACTAAGGACAACTCTGAACAAGTTGTATAGTGAAGAGGAGAAGATAAATGGATGTGGATGTAAACTGGAAGAAGATAGAAGGTCAAGGACATTTTCTGTGTGTTTTGCTCAATGGATTTTTTTGTTTTTGTCTTTTTTTTTTTCAAGCCAGGAGTCTCACTCTGTCACTCATGCCGGAGTATAGCACAATCAGGCCTCATCGCAGCCTTGATCTCCCGGGCCTCAGGTGATCCTTCCGCCTCAGCCTCCCTCCCAAGTAGCTGGGACTATTGGCGCCTGCCACCACACCTGGCTAATTTTTTTTTTTTTTTTTTTTTAGAGATGAGGTCTTGCTATGTTGCCCAGGCTGGTCTTGAAGCCCTGACTGAGGTCAAGCAGTCTTCCTGCCTTGGCCTCCCAAAGTACTGGGATTACAGGTGCGAGACACTGCACCTGGCAGATGAGTGATATTAAGTATATTTCTCTGCTGATGGTAATGACCCAGTCAAAAGAGGGGACCTAAGATTTATGAAGAATCAGTGATGATTTTAGGAATGCAGTTCTTCCATAGCAAGAATGTTGGCTTATACAAGAGCCAGGACATGGCCTCCATTTTAACAGGGAGAACAGATTTGTGCATGTAGGTTCAGAGGTGGCTGACTGAGACCATGGCGGTGGGAAGATGATTCGGGCAGCTCTTGTCAAACAGCTTGTTATTTCTCTGCGAAGTATGAAGGGAAGGCAGGGTCCCAGCAGAGGGCTAGAATGAGGCGTTAAATGTTTGAGGAAAAGGAAACGGCATGAGAAAAATAAGCATTTTGGAGGAGAAAAATTTGCTAGAGAAATCAGTGCGACTGTTGGACCGTGTTGTTTACCATTGGATATTTTTGGTCATAAAGACCAGTCAGCAGAGTTTCTGGAGAAAAGTCTGGCTACTTGGATTTGGTCCCAGATTAAGGTTTAGTTGGGGTTGGACATGTAGGATGGAGGGAAAAAGGAACAAAGCAGTCAAAGTGCGCTCCAGGGAATGGCTGTGGTGCTGACACATGGTACTTCCACAGGATGGGTGGCAGATGGTGAGGAAGAGGTCTTCGGTGGATGCACACCTCCAGTGCCATTGTGAAGGCTGGGTTTGGGGGTACGTGGAGGAGGCAGGAGGTGTGGAGCTGGTGGCTAGGGGGTAGTGATGACAAGAGCCAGAGGATGGGTGACCATGGCAGAGGGCGGTCCAAATGGAGTTGAGGAAATGAAGAAGGTTAGAGGCCAGAGACAGACGTGGCGGTAGGTGCCTGCAGTCCCACCTACTTGGAAGGCTGAGGTGGGAGGATCACTTGAGGCTAGGAGTTCGAGGCGGTAGTGTGCTGTGATCCCACCTGTGAATAGCACTCAGCCTGGGCAACACAGTAAGACTCTATCACTAAAACACACACACACACACACACACACACACCCCTACATATATATATTTTTACCATGACTTCTGTCGTAGTCTTGGCAATTTCAGTATCCACAGAAAAGAAATCATGAAGGAAGGTAGTAGGTGAACCAGGTGCTAGAATTTCAGTGACCTAGGATAACTGATTAGCCAGGTGACAGTCAAAGGAA